AGGGGGGTAATAAATGACCACAGTAGATGTGCGCGGGACCCAAACAAAGTAATTGTTGGAGGCAACGAATATGTGGCTGATGGAATTGTAACGAATGCACCTTTGTAGAGATCTGTTCACCCGGTGGCGGCGCTACACAAGATGAACTTCAAGAAACGTCTTTCAGATGTGAAGTACCATACATTTCAGATATTAAATAGCTTACGAGTTGAAGCATCAAAGAATTATGAACCTTTTCCCTGGTTCAACCAGATATAAGAGTGATATAGAGGGAGGGAGGGCACAGCAGGGGTCGGAATGAGGGGCCGGCCGGGCGGCCCGGGCCTGACGGCATGAACTCAGTGAAACTCAAGTTGCCGGGCCAGCCTGAGTCGACTCTCCTGATTGTCCTCGTACTGATCTTTAACTTAACTTTGAGTAAAACTGAGGTGCCAGCGGGCGATGATGATTTCTGCCGCCGCAGCCACCTCCCGAGTCCGCCGCGCCTGAGGGCCCCATGACGGCCCCCGTCCCGGAGTCCTCACTGAGACTCAGTCCAACCGGGTCCGACCGTACGGTACTCGGGCCCCCGCGGAGGACGGGGCCCGGGGGACGTGACTGAGGGCGATGATCACGGCGGCCGATGTAGAGTACTGATCCGATTCTATTACGATGACAGTACAAGAGTTCATCATCATCATCAATGATTGCCGGCGGAGGTTGAGGGTCACCGGGTAGTTCTGTGAGTCCGTGATCCCGGCTCAGCACTGGCAGCGGCTGCCAGTCCGATCACGCCGCACAGCGTTGAACGCATTGACTCGCATACGTCAAAGCCTGTAAAGGCTGCGCTGACACAGGCTGCTAGTATCAGCAGCCTGTGGCTTCGGTGAACTCGGGAGCTCCCTGCTGTCAGTCCTGATGGATTCGGAGGGCTTCCAGGGGACTTCCACACTCCTTGCCAGCTCCAAGTGGTTCCCTGGTAGCTGGCTCCCCCACTCCCCACCGCCATCCCTGGCAGGTTGACCTTGTCCATCGCACATGACGGCACCGGTGTATCTGCCAAGCTCCGCGCGCACCCGCTCACGTTGCACATCTGCATCGAGCACCTCCCGTTGTCACCGGCAGGGACTACTGACATTGCTTCCCTACACGCGCAGTCGAAGCAAGGTACCGTCCCTGATCCCTTTACCGCAATCGCATAGGTTGTCCAACCTGTCTCTGAGCTGTTGTAGAAAGTGTAGCTCTTGCTAGCTGATTGCAGCGCCGCGATGATCTCCTCCACCCTGCTCGACCTCACTCCGTCGTACACTCCTCTGCTCACCGACGCGTCTACTGCTCCTGTCCGCCACTCGCACAGCTGGGGGGTCTGGAAGCTGTACTGCAAGGAGGTGTTGGAAAAGTCGATGCTGTAGTCTTTGTTGAGCACGTCGGAGTAAACGAGCTGCCAGCTGGCGGTCGAGTCGTAGTTGGCATTGAGGCAGGTGTAGTACGTGTAAGGCGCCGAGCACCTGAAGGATGGAACATAAGCATACTGGAAGTCATTCGATGATCCAGTGCGGGGGTATGACTGTAGGTAAGTCTCAAGGATCCCAGTGTTGTCTCGTAAGGTCACGGCAGTACCATCATTAGATCTCGATTCATACAGCACGCCAGGCTGCTGGAACGAGAACACCAAAGCTGGGTTGAAGAATCCGGAGAAGTTGAAAACATGCCTTCCTGCCAGGACAACCTGCATACCATGTGCCAGGGGCCTGAGAAGGCAGTAGACAAGGAGGAGAAGCCACAAGAAAGGAGGAAAAGGACGGGGAAAGAGAGATCGCAACGCATTGCAGTACGAAGCGACTCACTGAGTCACGCCGAACGAGGCAGGCAAAGGAAGAGACTGATCAGCCTCGGAAGCTACAAAATAACCAGGCGAAGGGAGGGGAGGGACGAGAGGGAGACTCAGAGGAGGAGCAAGGAGGGGCAGGGAAGGAGAGTAGAGTAGAGTAGAGTAGAGTAGAGTAGAGTAGAGTAGAGTAGAGTAGAGTAGAGTAGAGTAGAGGAGAGGAGAGGAGAGGAGAGGAGAGGAGAGGAGAGGAGAGGAGAGGAGAGGAGAGGAGAGGAGAGGAGAGTAGAGGAGAGGAGAGAAGAGTAGAGTAGAGTAGAGTAGGGGAAGGGAGGGGAGAGTAGAGTAGAGTAGAGGAGAGGTAGAGGAGGGGCAGCGACTTCAGCCCGGCTGCCGTGAGGAGGGCGAAGGTCGGAAGGGCAACAGGCGGAAACTCCTAGCTGAAGGCCCTCCCAGCAAAAGACCCCACCCCTCAAAAGCTCGAGAAACAAGGCTGCATGTACCCCTCCTGCGAGTTGAACCGGCGGCCCTCCCAGCAAAAAGACCCCACCCCTCAAAAGCGCGAGAAACAAGGCTGCATGTACCCCTCCTGCGAGTTGAACCGCCTGGCAGATCGTAGTAGAAGGCGCAGGAACGAGCAGAAGGGAAGGGCGAAGGAGAGGAGGAGGAGGAGGAGAAGGAGGAGGAGAGAGAGAGAGAGAGAGAGATGGGGGAGAACGAGGAAGGTGACAAGATGAGAGGAAGGCTGAGGCGATTCATTCGGAAAGAATACAAGAGAAGGCAGGAGACGATAATCTGCAGCTCGAGGGGCTGAGAGCAACAGGAGAAGGACAAGAGCAGCTCCCTCCTCCCTCATCTGTCCGCATCTTCCTGCATCTCGTCCGTCGCACGCTCCTTCTCCCGTCCCTCCTCCTGCTTGTAGCCTCGTGACCCCAGCCAGGGCTCGAGCAGCGTCAGGATCTGCTGAGGGACCGGGTAACCCTTCGCTAGTCGCTCCTGCACGTGCTGAAAAAAAACGTCAAGGGCTCAGGAGGAGGAGGAGGAAATACCTGTGCCATGGGTGGGCCGAGGTCTTTGCATGCCTGAACAGCCTTGACGAGCTGGAGAGAGGAAGAGAAGAGTCAGAGAGCGAGGGGAGGAGGAGCATGGGACCTGTTGAGGAGGAAGCTGCACGAGGACCGGGAGGGAACGAGGAAGCGTCTGGCGGCAGCACTTGACGAAGCCCTCCCAGAGCGTCGGCATCGTCCACACTTGCTTGGAGATGAGGCGAGAGAGAATGCCCATCACCTAGCGGGAGGAGAGTGAGAGGAAGAGGGGGGGAGGGGGGAAGGGAGGGAGTATGAAGGACTCGCCGGAAAGGAGGGGCCTGTACGTTTGACATTAGGCAAAGAACAAGATGAATCTTTCATAGTCGCTCCCAGAATGGCTTCCTATTTTGCTTGAATTCTTGGCTAACATAGTTATGCAGAACTGTAACCATGTACGTAAAAATTGCGCCTCGAAAGACAAGGTCACAAACAGATGCCTGCGAACACCATAAAAAAAACTCCCAACGTCGTTTTCCTTGTATCCTTCG